TTTCGAAAAATCGACTGCAACAATGCGCGTTTGATTTATGATGAAAAAGTGCAACGTGCGTTTAAAACGAGTCTTGATTATGATTTCCTGATGAAAGAGAAGAGAAGGGAAATAACAACGGGACGAGTCACGCGCGCGTACGAACAAGATAAATCATATTCGCTACATACAATTCTAATAGTACGCTTATATATATCAATTAACGTCTCAAAACTTCGATTTATATAAATTTTATCATAAAAGCGTAAATTTATCATAGAGAACATATCACACGTAAACAATCTATTTGTTTGTCCGTATCAAATTTATACCTAAATTCTAAGTAGAATCGAAAATTCATAACATATTTTTGTAAGACTTGTAAGAATTTTTAAATGCTTATATCTTTATACAATATTTTTACAGATAGCTTCTTACTAGTTATAAAATTTATACGAAATCATAGATATTTACGAATAATCATATGTCTTACGATATATACGCATAAACTTAGAATGTTAGTCATAAGTTCTTACAAGTTTTACAAGAACATGTTACAAGTCTTACGATTTTGCTTAGAATAATTGACTCATTAATGTATATCTTTTCAACAAAAATTAATTTTTCTTTAAATATTATTTATTTTTCTGTCTTTTTTTTAGAGTAATTGCTAATTAAAAATGCTCCGTTAAAAATCAGCTATACTTATAGTTTTTAGCAAATTTACTACAGTGATCAATGAAATTATATATGTATATTCTAGTGAATTTGCTTACTTTTGTAATTTTTACTTAATTTCAAGTATATAGGTACATAATCGACCACTTTCCAGATATTGAATCATGGAGATGCATCGCCATACAAGGGCAAGTTCACGGCGCGACCTTGCGCGACCTACTCATATTGAGTGAGGAAGGAAAAGAGCGCAAACGAAACAAGAGTTTTTCAACGTCAGCGTGCAAGTCATACAACAAAAGATATCCTAAAGATATCCTGTTTGTTGCCCCCGTTTACCGAGTGAAATTAAATAGACTTTAACCTGAACGAGTTCAAACAATCAAATTAGTTACGCAAAATACGCTTTAAAAATCGTTTGCATTTAATAGAAAAACATGAGAAAAACAATGAGCAAGCAAAAGGAACTATGCTCGAATGATTCTCGAACAAAATGAGATTTAAGAACGTTTCTCCAGATAACGCATCTGATCCATTTGAGCTTGAAAATAATTTATCTTCTTGAGTTCTTTATATGAGTTCTTTATATGAATAGCCTAATCTATTTAAAACTCATTCAAATAAAATTCAAAAATATATACAAATATTAGATATTGATATATCTATATTTGTCTATACGATATCTTTAATAAAAGTAATACTTAATTTGCATAAAAATCAAAGTATGATTTATCCTTATACAAAAATTAAGAAATAGAACAGAAAAAGAATGCCTTTTGAATCTGAAAAAAGTTTACAATTAAACATAACATAAAAATGAAATCTTTTGAGATTTTCAGGAATACTATTAGAAATGAGGCAAAATACAAACAAGAATTCATTATATAAGTCGAGAATCAAAAAAAGAATTCCCTTTAAACTCTCTGTGCTATCTGAATCCATATTTGCAAATAAATACTCTCACGACGACGTCCTAATATCAAAATATTACGTCAACTGTTGATCATATTAACGTTGCATCGAGATGCGGAATCGGTCATCTCGACGATTATTATTATTAAATGTTAATATCATTAATTAATATCTATTAATGAGACGTCTGATTCGGTTGTCTTAAACTTATGTACTTAAACAAATGTAGATGATTGCTATCGGCCATTGAGACGGAATCGTGAACGAAGTGACAGCGCGTGGAGTCCGCGCACGTGCGTCAGCCATATACGTTACAATGGCCGTATGTAAACAAACGGAGCACGACCTAACGCAAACGGAGCATATCCATCTTGTGCTTTCTACCGCGACGGTACTGTTTACTGCAGGGAATTCAATATTGCACGAGAAAAGTGTTTCCTGTTGACAACAAGGAAACTCGTTCAAGAGGCAAGGCATTCGAGACATTCATACAATCGAACGAGAGATCGATTCAAGGGAAGCGCGAATTTGCACCTGCAGCTTCTGCTTGTCCTCGACGAGGTGTACGTCTTGATGATCGCTACCCTCATGGCCTGGCGGCACCGCGTTCGGATGTCCGACCGCGGACGAACGCGAGTCCTTGACGTCGCCGGAGGCGCGCGGTGGCACCGGCAACAACAGCTCTGGTCCAGCCTTCTGCATGCTCTGATACACGCGGTAGACACTGTTCACAGCGGCACCGCCGGTACGAAAATCCGGCAAGTAAAAGAACGCACCGAAGCATACGACACCGAACGTCATGAATACAAGAAGGATCAGGTACTTCTCGCGCGGACGGAAGGACCGTCTCGAGAACAACGGCACCGGTACGCCGTTCGCAAGGCGCTGGTACGACGGCAGTACGCCAGTCGACGCGCTCATCTTACCACGACACACCGACACACGTGCAACGCGCCGCGGCACTTAATCACCACCCCGATCTTGTCGGATACGCGAAAACTCGAGCACCCGTGCGCGTTTCGCACCCGTGACTCTTCAGCCGTCATACGCCATTACGAATCGAGCACCACCTGCGTGGAACAGTTGACATCTCGCGATTGCTGCCGAAGCGCCGATCAGCTGACGTGGCGCGCGTTCGAAACTGCGCAGCGACAAGTGGCTGCCTGCCTGTCACTTTTCATCCGATATAGCAATGCGGGCGACATCTGTCAACGGGAGGGATCCGACTTACCATCGATCAATGTGCGAGAGTTACATATTTCTCAGTTGATAATAACAAAGAGAAATCTAATTATATAATAATCGAGCTCTAGATGAAAAAGCATTAGCTGATAACAATAAGAAGTTACAAATCTATATTGGTTATAATTATGTCATTTTATATAGGTATTTACAACCATGCAAATGTAAAAATAATTAAATCAAATTGAACAATAAATTATTATGGTCTAATTAAAATGTTCAGTTTAGCATAAATTAATAATTAGTATTTAATATTTATTACAATTAACAAATAATTATATTATAATTAGTTATTAACTATCTGCTACCTTAATTTATTAATTGTTAATTAACGTAATATATATATATATATATACATTAATTTTAAAATTTATTGTAACTACCACGGAGAGAATTTTTTTTTTAATTTACCTTAAAAATATAATAGTTGTGATACAATATAATATTTTAAAGATTTTTATCATGTACTTCAGTAAAATTAATTAAACTTATTTTATAGTTTATTGTAAGTTTATTAATGAATGAGAGATTTACATTAAAATTCTTCGAAATACACATTGTTCCACGATTATCATATTTTCAGGGTAAACTGTAAGAAAAAATTCTCTCCATGTAGAAATAACAATAATTATCAAATTAAACATATTCCTTTTATCATAGACACGATTTAGTGGTTCAAAAAATTCAACTAGATATTGCAAGGGAATTTTATTAATGTCACAATAAAAGTAAAGTATTTTTAAAACAAAATACTCATACAAAAAGTATAAAATCAAATATTTGTACATTGATCTTACAGTTCTTAAAAATAAGTAAAGTAATACAATGTAACGCAATGTATGTTAATACACAAAATGTAACTTTAAAGATTGTTAACATAAAATAAACTCCACGCATTCTCAGAGATCAACCTGTTTCACCTGTTCCCTACATAATCGTTCTCTCATAATTTTCAATACAGTTTCTATCCTAACAAGATAAGTTCTATGTAGCATGGCTAGTATCACAATTCCAACTTCTCATCTGCGCAATAAAATAAAATATGAGATAATGGAAATAGAAAAATGTGGTTCGAAATGAAAAATTCGCTCAACTATAACATACAAAATGAATTGTGCTGATTTAAAACAAAGCGTGATTATATTTATGTATATACAAATAAAAATATATACTTTAGATATGAATAACGCCGTAATTTAAATATATTGATGAACTATTTTATAAAATACAAATGTCTAACAAATGATTTATGTTAGAGTCTGTGCCTATTACAATAATAATCTAATTTAATAAACTGTATAAGTACATTAAAAAATATGTCTAATATAATAGGATTAAGTACAATTTTTCTACAAATAACATAAATTATACAAAATAAGTCTTTACTAATAAAATTTATAACAATACTTTTGTGGACGATCTTTTTGACAATCTTTTCTTCTCGATTTTAAGGTTAGATTAATAACAAATTGTTGATTTATATTCCTTGTAATGATACTGTATAATAATACTATATAATTACACGTACTCAATTTTCTGTTCGCTCTTCCTCGATTAATCAGATATTATAATTTTTACTAAATCAGATGTTAACTCTGGATTTCTCTTTTATTCTTTCGTTCCATGTTCTAGCATAATATTGTCGAATTACCAAAAACTCGACAAAAAAGATTAAAAAAAAAGTACGTGCGTATGTGTGAGAGAAAAAGAGAAAATGAAAAAAGGAAATAAATTAGTAGAATACAATGAAATATTAATAAACTTTAGTCTTTTTGAGTTCAATTTATCTTGAATTGGCTCATTTTGACATTAAAAATAGAATGTTTTCACTAGGAATTTTTATTAAATTTTCAAGTTTAATAACTTTGTCATTAAAATTAATAAATTGTCATTAATAATAAAGTATTTTAGTACACATCTAATTGTATATGAGTATAACTAGTAGCTGCACAATGAGGGTCTTCAATCAAAAATTATCTAATATTTGTACAAAATAATATAACTAATATTTATATATTTCGGTACTTCATCGAATGTCATTTAAAACATTATTGATTATATTATATATTTAATTTTACATCTAATTTTTGAAACTAAAAATTTATTAAATTGCATGCAAGAAATAAGTATTGCTTAATTTTTTATGTCATATTTTGCAACACAGATTATTTAAATTGTAATACAACGCGGCTATAGAAACATTTTGAATTTTTGTAAAGTCAGCGAAGACCGACATTCGATGAAAACCGATATAAGTCTTTCAATCGTCTTCATACGAAGCAACTCAAGTAGTTTTGTTAGTCGGTCGGAATCGCGACATGTAAAAATCGCAATCCGAGCAATATAATGTTGGTTCAAGTACATTTCTCTTTCGACAGAGATTGCAAGGTGTTACGTGTGCTCTCACGGTGGTCGCAATGCCTGTTGGCGTCTGCAAAGGAGGTTGAGTTATCATCGGAACAACCTTCGCAGTAGACATCGTAAAATGCATCTGTTTAGAAAGTGGAGGATGCTGATAGGCAGGATATTTCGCATTTGGCTGTATTTGACCATTCTGCATTGTCTTAGGATACTGATTAGACACCATAGGACCTTGTTGCTCTAGCTTTTGATTGTGAGATAATTGTCGCTGATAGTTATCATGCCTCTGCTGATAATTCTGCGTGTTTTGTTGCTGTTGCTGCTGATAGGCCAATGAGTTAGATGATGATTGATATTGTGGTATTGGTTGACCCGCTCTGTTTTGTGGAAGAACAGTCTGATAGGGATGACCCTGATAGGAACTTTGAGAATATTGATTTTGATATGGACTTGGCGATTGATTAGGCGGATAAAATTGCTGTTGCGAATGCTGGACAGTTATCGGACTGGCATTGTGAGAAGGAATTCTTTGATTCAGAGTATTCTGCGATTGAACAGTCGCTTGCTTATTCATTTGATTATGTTGCTGTTCCAATTGATTATGCAATTGCTGCTGATAATATGTTCCATAACCGTTTTTCTGAGGTAATATTTTTGTTTGCATTCCATTTTGAATGTATTGTCCATTCATTTGCGTCGGATAAGGACTAGCTGGTTTCTGAGTCTGCGATGAAGGAATAATTTGATTTCTTGGATGGGACGCTTGTGTTTGCGGATATACCGACTGCATATATTGCGTGTATCCATTCTGAGTATATCTGATTTGCTGTTGCAGCTGCGGTGAATAGGATGTCGGTTTTGAAGTGTTCATGGGAATACTAGGGTAGCTTTCTTTACCATCGATTACGTCTTTACCCTCATTTCCACAAGATCCACAGGACTTCTTATCCATTAGTGATCCAATCGAATCACTCAAATTCTTTCGTCCAAACGTAGGTTTAATAGTGTCTGGAATTGGATTAACGCTCCTCAGTTGATCTTGAAAAGGTGTCGCCGGTACACTATCGGCTTCACTCTTTAAAGGAAGGGTCTGTTGTTGAAATTTCGCGGCTGTATTTTCACGGATCGTCTCTGCCTCCTGAAGACTTCTGATTTCTCGTAATACTTGTGCAGTTTCAGGTTTATTCATTGCAGAACGTAATACTCTTTCCAAAATAGGATTAGGTATATACGAATCCTTTTCGTCATCCTCCGCTGTTGCAACAAGCACCACTTGATCACAAAATGATACGCTTTTCTTTTTCCCAATCCGCCGTTTCACCTTTCGCGGAGCAATATCCTCCTCGCTTGGCAGTATTGTTGTGTTTTGTATAGTGTTCTGCATCGCCACTTCGCTGATGTCATCTTCCGGACAATCAACAGGCAAACCATTCTCATGCGGAAGTGTCAAGGACATGGATAACATCGCGGCATTTAATTCGCTCTGTTGAATAGATTCATTTGACGGCACCATTGCAATAAAGCTGTTCTGGCTGGAACTCGAATCAAAACTAGAGTTTAAAACAGTCTGGGAATTTGAAGATTCCATCTTTGTGAAGACTGCGGAATTCTCAGAAGATAATTTGGCTGATTTTGTAACCTCCATCGATTCCTGAGACATATCCGATACTAACATTGGAGAAACGCAATTTACATTCTGCTTCGTTTGAGGTTTCACATCTGAGTCGGACTTCAAAGTCGGTTGAAGCTTGATCTGTTCAAATCTAGCAGCCATATCTTTTACCGAAGAAGCGACTCTCGGGCAGTCCGTAACGTCACGACCTTGATCATAATTCTGTCCAAGATTACTCATCATTAAATCACTAGTTCTTCTAGCGATAGTCGGTCCTGGAATTGTCGGTATTGACGGAATCCTAACTTTTGGAATGTCTTGATTTAAAGGTCCTTGTCTCTTCATTTTCCTTTCTGCCTGTTTAGCTTGCAGTTCTCTCAACCACGTTTCACTTGATGACTTCTCCTCATCCTCCTGTTCCTGCATTCGTTTCTCTTTATTTGAATCCTCAGTTAAAATCTGCTCCCTTTTGTTTTGCAACTGCGCTAACAGACCGCCAATCTGTTGCGCTTCGAATTGCTGCGCACGTTGTTGTGGTTGAACATGATGCTGCTGAGTTTCTTGAAGATGACTCGGCTCATCGATCGGTGGCGGCGGTGGCGGGAATTCCTCACTAGCTTGTCTCGAATGCGATACTGAATGAATTAATGGATACGGTGGTGGTGGGAAATCTTCGCTCGGTTGTCGTGAATGTGAAATATTACTGTTTTCGGGATAAGGTGGTAAGGAATCTGGCTGAAATTGTTGTTTAACGGGAGTCTGTTCATTGTGCACGTCTGCGCGAGTGACAACGAAGGTCGGCTCGTATATGCCGTTAGCGTACTGTACAACGTCATCTTGAATCCTAGGTTTATTGTTGTAATTTGTTTGACATGCTCCAGAAATATTAGTATTTTGTTCATTATAAGATGGGAGAAATGGCAGCGAATGCGATTCCGAAGAGTAATCAGCATAGTCTGAGTTTCTGTTTGTCACGTTAGGTGAGTTACTCGAGTTCATGTGATTCCAATAATTATTTTGTTCCTGCGATGGGTTGGGTGCGCATCGATTGTCCGGTAAAGAATATGCAGCTTTATCGGATTGCTGCTCATTGTGCACTTCGCCTGAACACTTAGACTTGCTAAGTTGAGAAGTGGTCCTGAGCGGAGGAGGCGGAGGCACTTTGGCCACGTGTAACACTTTGCCGGCGTTGCCATGAAAACTCTTCCTCATCAAACGGCTTCTTTCAAGATTCGGATTACTAGTATTTCCAGGTCCATTTCCGGCGAATTCCAGATGTCCTTCTGACAAGTAACCGCTCAGTGATTGGCTTACATCATTTCCTTTTAGACCAACGTTGGAATCGTCTACTGACTGTTTCGGTAAGACGGATGCATTCCGTTCCGCATTCACATTTGTCGGACCATCCTGCCCTTCTCGTAAATCCGGCATACTTCTGTTTTTCCTTTTAATCAATCCGCCCATAAGCAATTTTCTGCGTATCTTGTGCTGTTTCTTGCCCTGCTTCTGCTCGATCGCAGCTGCATTATTGAGTTGAGTATTTCTGACAGTTGCGTTAATCTCGGTTTCTTTCGACTTATCAATCTTTACTCCTTTTAAAGATGGTGACAATCTAGATGGTGCTATCGAAAAATCCTTTGATATGTTCTTGTTCCTTTCTTCACTTCTCGCGCGTTTCTTATCTTTTTTATCATCTTCACGTTTCGTACGACTAAACAAGCCAGTCCTTTGTGTCGGGCGATCATACAGCATATATTCTTCGTCCTCAATGACATTTATTGCTGTTGCTTTACTACGTAAAGTTTTCTTCTTCGGTAAAGTAGCATAAATCTCAATACTCTTCGTAACAGGTTTATCTGCTACTGTCGTTGATGCATTTACTAGAAGTTCTCGACTATTTTGCCGGGAATGATTACCTTTATCTCGTGAGCTTTGCCTCGAGTGTTGACCCGATTTACTATTCTCCCGCGAGTGTCTTCCTTCAGGCACCCCATCTGGGAAAAAAGAAAGAGAACCCAATGTCAGATATATATTTTTATTCTACATATCTTCAGAGTAATCATACCTCAATTTCTTACCTTCTTTGTCACCGTTAACAGTAATTTGTTCTTGCAGCATTCTCCTATGCAAACTCCTCGTTCTCATGACGCAAGTATTGTGTTTCATTCTTGCTATAGTGATCGTGTGTGGATTATTATACGGAGCGTCCATCGCGGCTCTGGCTTTATTACTGGCCGCATTGCATAATGCGACGGCCGTGTTAAGATCGCCAGCATCTTCAGCGGCACGAGATTTATCCAGCAAAGCATCCGTTTCTTTACATAATCGTTCACAATCGTCGCCGGAAGAAGGTTGATAACCTTCCGGTATTTGAGCAAGCTGTAAAAGAGATCCAAATTACAATAAAGTTCGCAAACATCTCAGTAATGATTGAGAATTTAGATACTTAGAAGTTTATATATAATCTAAGCTCTTGTTGTCTCTATCTTGTTGTCTTAATATCTTTTATTACCTGTAAATTGTGCTTTAAACCCTGCTGAAGTGGAAGACTGTCCGTGGAAGATAAAGAATAGGAATCGTAACCAGCGTCGTAATGGCCGCTACTGCTGCTCGAGAGTTCCCCAGATTTGATGGGACTTTTAGGTACGCCCGAATTTCTTTGCATTTTATTAACAATATATAGATACGTATTATCCATCGTAGTTGATGAACTCGACGACGCACTATTTCGATCACCGGACCAATTACCGGAATCTCGTCTTCGAGGCACATTCATATGATCAGGGATGCTGATACCATCTTGTGGTGTTGATCCCACGCTTAAGCTACGCGTTAACTGCATCTGCTGCTTTTTCTGTTGCTGCATTACATTTTCCACAGCACGACGACTAATATACTTCGATTCTATTTCACCATCGACCGTGTCCACGCTCTGTATGATATAATTTTTTAATTTTAATGTCAAGAAATTAAATGTGAAGTCTATACGTACATGCTTTAGTAAAAGAAAAATCTATAAAAGATCATTTATAAATATTAATTATTGTACAACGTACCTGATTATCAAATATATTATTCTGGATGTCTGTGAGATTCTGGTAATCACTGTAAACGCTTCGTTGAGTGTAGAGATGCGGTGGACTGTCAGGATTAGGTGTGATGGCACGTCTGACAGTGCTATTGATGGATGGCTTTTCAGGACTAGGTGTAATTGAACGGCGAACACTGTTTTTTGGAGATGTCTTTAGGCCATTATTATTCGGAAAAGGAATAACAGTCTTCGGAGCATTCTCGGTATTAACAGGAGTACCAGCAGGTGTCGCATATAGAAGTAGCAAAGGCTGATAACGTCCTCTTCTACACTTTTCTACAACTTGCTCCCACCGAGGCCCAATTTCTTTAACAGTGGCATCGTCAAAATAGATCCACACCTAAAGATTTATTTTATCAATATATTAAACCTTGTTATAAACTGAATCGCAAAGTTAAAACTACTGCCTGTTAATACGAAGATAACACTGACCTTCAATTTTGTGTGGAAAAAAAACGTAGAATAATGTTTCCCGTAATAGGTAACCACTCCTACGAGATTATGCACAGTAGAGGCACCCCATCGAGAATCTACCACGCTATGGAAAACATCGCTAAGCCGAAGAGACGTGCCCACAGTCGCAAAAACGTCCATGATATGCTCCAACGATGGTCGTTCGCTGTCCCAGACGACACCGACAGAAACTATTTCCGGCCGATTCATCAGGGTTCGACATATTTGGATTTTCGCACCGCAAGAACTCTGAGCATGAAAAAATGGAAAGAAATATATTTTTAATGCAATACTGTTATAAAATATTTAATATTAATTTTAACGATTACATATAAATTTCAATCAATGTGTTCTATTTTTAAAAGAAAGTTTAAAATCGGATATAAATTCGTAGAAAAAATATATTCATAAAACTCGTATTCAAATGAGTCAGTTCTACGTAATCTTATTTAAAATCCAATCTTGAATGGTCTATGAACGGTCTACCACGAAATTGATGACAAAATACGCGGCAGAACGCGTTGAACTGTACGTGTTAGTCACAGTTTGACCAAAGATTTATAAAATATGCTCGCTCACAGCTTTGCTTACCGGACAGTCACGAATGTCACCCATTCCGCCAGCTCTTCGGAGAAGTTGTCCAAAGAGATCCGGATTATTTCTAGAATTTAGTGGCGTTTGATGAGCTTGAGACGTCAAAGCTGATGCAGACACATAATGAACCATCTGAAAAAAAAACAAAGACAATTGTATACACATGCTTCCTTTTTTATTTAATAAATTTGAAGTTTTAAAAAAAGTCAGGATTTATAAAATATAGATTGACAAAAGAAGGACAATTGTCATATATTAATATAATGAAAATCCATAAAGTTGGAAATTCAAATATTTTTAATAATTCAGAAACAATAAAAGTCATATATACATACAAACAAATTCAAAATCAAAATTATCGAAAGTAGATTGTAAAATATCTCCTACAAACTTTGCTCACAAAAAGCAAATCTGATGTACAATTTGTTGTATTTAATAATGATATCGGTAGAACAGACATTGAATAAAACTAACAAATTATGATATTAATCGAAAAGATCTGTAAAATAAAATTCGAATTGAAATAAAATTTGAAAGCAAATCTACTATTTCATGTTTAAATTTTGAATAATTTTTACGGTAATAGAATAATAAAATCATTTATTACATTTAATTGAATACAAGGGAAACAAAAAATTAATATAAAAAAATTAATTTGAATTTAATTTAAATAAAACAATCAATTATGATTTTTGTCATTCTGCTCATCATATTATAGCAGATTCAATCACAAATTTGATTGTGAGTGCAATTAATGCAATCTGTTGCAATATCTTGATCAAATTTGTTACTGAACAGCCGGCATACTAACATTCTGCTTAGTGGATAAGCAACTAGTTTCATGCTTTTTACGGTTCGCTGGTCAACGATGTCCGATGCGAACACACCAAGGAAAACCAACTCCACCCACCACGAGATGCTGAGCACTATATGTGGCTTATGCTGCTCTCTTCCGTTTGCGCGGTATACATTATTTTAGTTGCAAAAGGAATACTCATAATAGAAAGTCAAATTACAAGAGTATATATATCTTTTTGCTGTATTATACTAGCAATATAAATATGATAATAAATATTGATATTTTGTTAAAACAAAACTAAAAGGAACCATACAACAGTTGTTAATGCATAAATATGTCAATATGTGAAATTAAATTTTAATTTGTTTTTTCATAGTTGCAAAGTAAATAAAAAAAAGTATCAATGAAACATAAACTTAATAGAACGCATTTTATGATTCCTCCTATAACTATTGCATGTGCAATGAAAAAATTACAAAATAAAAGTTTGTCAAGCAAAAATAATATTTATTAAAAAACAAGATATCTCTTTACTTTTGTACTTGTAACTTCAATTTTTGCAAAAAGTTAATGTTTAATATGTTTTACAAAAAAAACATAACAATCACATTGACAAATTCTAAATTCTATTTTTCTAAATTTCTTTTCTGCAGAAATAAAACGTGAAAAGAAAAGATGCTAGATGTTTAGATAGGTAGACCAAAACGTGACATTGTAATTTTAGTAAAGGAGCAGATGTCTATAGAAAAAGAAAAACACAAAAAAGATTTTATGTGCCTCAGGTAAAATCTAGTGATGAATACTATGCACCGATACTACTTCGTACTACAAAAAACGTAACGTATGAAAACATAAAAACGGAAGAAAAAGCGAAAAAAATCAATTCGTCAAAGAGATGATCAAACATTAATATTGATGTTTCACTTTATAAATGAAAATAATATTTTTCATTCTATATATTCTTAAAATTATTGCATGCATAAAAAAAATTAATATATGTTTAAATATACATATATTTATATATATTTGTATATATATTTATGTATATCTATAAATTATGTAATTAGGTGAAATAATAATTTTACATATAATGTAGCTTATAATGTGAACAAAGATGTCATAGATGTTCACAGAGCATTTCGATACATTATATCTCAAAAATTGTCCATTAAAACCTTATGTCTATGATATCTTTTATTTACTACATTATAATGTATATTACATAAAAACTTCCGATAAAAACTAACTGGTTTTACCGGAACCCAATTTTCCATATAATTAGTGAGAAATTCTTTGTAGGTTTAGAAAATTGACTTAATCATTTAGTCAACAAATAATATTTTCGATATTACTACGAAGGCGATATTACTTGACTGATTTTATATATATAGATATATACATTCGTATATGTAACCATGCATGATAAGCATGCAATGTGGAAAGCATGATATTAATTACACAAACCTGTGTAAAAGGCAGTGGCTCCGATGTTGCACCGCAAGCTCCACAGACACTTTGTTCAACGAGTGTCATGGCAAATTTCTGATGCGGCACACAATGTCTCGCGCTGCACATATCTTCAGCCTCGCCGCTTGCGATGTGAAGGTGTATACGCAAGAGAATGTTTTCCTGAAATTGAAAAAAAAAAATTATGTTATCTGGCACGCATTCCTCCATATTTTCTGTCGCAATTCATAACCTGCCTTTACAAGGCCAAGTTGAATGTACATAAAGCAGAGATATATCTGTAATATTTCTTATAACAATAAAGTATATAATTTTATTATAAAAATTTATGGTCATCAACCTAACATGTTCAATTTAATGCGTAATAAAAATACGCTAGCCAGCAAATACAATACTACTTGATAAAAATTATGTATTTGAATATGCAGAATAACGGTACACCACGATTATGTTACTGTCCTTGCATCTATTGTACGTTTTCGCTGTGTAAGTTCCAACTTGCATTGCTATTATTCAACCGACTAGTGTTGACATACATACGAGCATACTAGTGTCCAATGTGACCGTTGTGCAAACGAGAAAGTAGTATACTAGCGATATTTGCGAGGCTCAGCTAAGATTATTATTGCTAGTCCAATCTCGCTTGTAACTAGACATCATTAGAAACATTCGATCAGCTTTGAAATATTCAATAATGAAAATAACGAGATTCTGCATTAGAGAACGAGAGAAAATCTGAAGGAGAGACCTCAATTTGACTTAATTTCATTAGTATCTAAATGGACCTTCTATGTCGTATAAAACTTTCTATTATCATCAAAAAGTTATTATCAAGAAAATTTTATTACACTTCTTGAATTTTCTCGAGAAGAATACTTCTCATTTTGAATATAAATAACATAATTTTTTTAATCTTAAAGAATTATTTGCATTATTTATCTGTACCGCTTTTCTCATAATACAAATTTTAAAATCCAATTAATTGCGAAAAAAAGATCATAAAAATCGTTTCAGCAATCATGATTTATTGTAAGCGATAAAAAAGTATTTTCGCAATAAGTTTTGACACATTTAAATCTGGTCGATTGCCAATTGATAAATTGCGTTACATGTATCAATATCTCGTAGTTTTAATTAGAAGTAAGCATTTGAAAAAAACTGAAATAATTGACACTTACGAAACATTCTGCCGCGTCGTCCATAAAACCAAGCTGAAACCTCTGCTGGTCGAGAAAACTCTCAGCCAACGCACGGCGTAATGTATCGGGTGGCAGAGCGCTCTCTTGCGAAAACTGCAGCTGCGAGAACAGGTCCTGAAACAAGACAATGTGACGAGGATTTAATGCAAGAGCTATTAAACAAGATCTCGAGCTAACGAATATGCATTGACAGAACGCGAAATGAATAATAAATATCAATGTGAAATATAGATAAACAAAGACATATCATTACATAACTATATACTAATTTTATTCATGTATATGTTAAGAAATAAATAATAATAAAATATATTATGATATTAATGTAGAGTTTCTTTTAGATTCAAATAAAGATCTGATTTACATTGATATTGCATTCATTAAATTATCAATATCTTCTTGTATTTATTAGTCTTCTGTAAGTTGCGTGACAAGTACGTACAGAATATGAAAATATAACAGACTCAACAGGTGGAATAAATATTCATTATACATAAAAGATGAAGAGGTCGGCTTTAATCTAGCATACAACGTCGAGAATCCTCTGCGTCTTAATTATACATATTATAACAATTAATCTAAGATATCCTGACATCACGAAATACTAAAATAACAAAATAATTTTTAGTACGGAAACTTTTTTAATTTTAATTGCGTCACATATAATATAAATCTTTTAATAAAAATAAAATTATATATAAAGTTTATAGCTAAAACCATAAATCACTGTAAGCGAATAAATATAAACAAAAATGTAGCTAATTGCAGACAGATATCTGTAAACATTTCGTAAATAAAAGGGAGGAGAGAAGAATAAATTTAATTTTCTTGCGCAGAGTTATGTTAATCTTTACGTCACCGCAAATAAAACCGTTGATTGTGATAAAATCATGTTGTAACGCTAAACCTACTGCATTGCTCTGTTTCTTTCATTTCTCTAATCAACATATCTACCAGATAATCAGAGAGTGCACAGAAAAATTTGTTAAACGCAAGCAATTTTGCAATAAGAAGATAGTAAATGAAGTTCCTGAGTCGATGGGTACGTGATCGACCATATTTTATCTCGATTTTTATTGCAACGGTCGCCGTATGCCACTGCTGTGATACATGGCAGAGGTCAAATAAAAGTACCGAACCAGTCGTAATTTGTGACCTATCGGCAGCAGCCGGGTTCTTGTAGATTTCGTAACTAATCCTCCCTCCCGCGATTAGTAACAGTTACATGTAGAAAGTCGGTGCTGCGCTTCAAAGTGCTTGCCTAACACAGCATTTCGGCAAAAATGCGTTGGATGTAAAAGGAAGATAGAACAATGAATAACTCAAAATACATTAAATCACACAAGTTGCGAATTAGGTTTTACGATTTGCAAAAAATCTGATAAATATAAACGCCAAATGATAAGTAAAAATTAATGAGATAATAGAATAATAAGATAGAATTGATTTCTAGAATTTTCTGATGAATTTCAATGGTTCAATCGGAATTCATGCTAGTCATTCTATTACGTCTGTTGCGTCTGGATAGCAATCTAATACGCTACTACGTCAATTCGCGTCTAAAGTGAAATTCTTCAATGAAAGTTACTGCATATCGTGTACTAACTGTCTACTGGTAGGTAATGATACTAGTGACAGATGTGGTACGAGTGCCGGTCGACGTAAAAGCGATGATAGTAACGGCACGTCCTATGTGCAGGAAGAAGAAAATACGACACCTGTTCGAGACAGGTTTGTAGCCTGATGTTAAAAAATCAGCTGGTTTTAACGTACATATCAGATATTGTATTAAATATAATATGTTCATCACTTGAAAGCGATGCTTTATTAGTCATAATTAAGCGATGCTAAATCGGCCGTATATTTCTCGAAATTTAATAGAGTATTTCTAGAAATAATATCTATTGCGCAGAAAAAGTAATTGTTAAAAAAAAATAACGTTCAGAATTAATAATTTTTAATGCTTATCTGTCTTTACATAGAAAAAAAGAGAGAGTAAAAATTATAACTATACGCATAATTCTATAGAAACCTTCACACGATCAAGCATTATCAAGCTACAATGTACAGCAATTTAAGAGAAATCATGTGATTGTTGTTTTAAGATAATTAGTTTAATGACTAAATTCATTATTGGTTATTCATTATATCTAGATTAATTAACTTTTGCTATTAAGAATACAATCTTAAAAAGCTCTAATGTGACTCTCTAAACTTAAACTAATGAAGAAATAATGAACAATAAAGTATAAGCGTACTTTTTTCAGATCGTTCAGCTCAATATTGTAAACCGAGTCTTCTTTTTCCATTCCGCTGTCTTCCCCTTCTTCTTTGATTTTATTTTCGATTTTAATCCTTTTCTCATCATTTTTGGTTTCCTGATTAGATTTAGCAGGTGACGACGGGGCCGTCGTCGGCACGGATGTCGTCGCCGACACATTCTGACGAACCTTTATCCACTTTAACATTTTTACATCTTTCGTAAACTCAAGTTGAAGATATAAATTTCATCACAAATTTTTTTATAAATTGTGATTATCGTAGTCATCTTCAACGTTAAAATATGTACAGTGAAAGATTTAATTAATTTAATTAATTCGAACGTTAACACTCCAAAATTAAAATTAAAGTATTGCAAGTGCAAAATAATACATCTTCTGAGTCAGATAAAAATAAGTGCAAACTTCATAAAAAACTCTTCATATCGAATTCTTATAATAACGTTATTTATAGTGTCTGCATACACTTTACTTGCTCACTTAATATTATTTGATATTATTTGCTTTATAACTTCATGCTGAGTACATTTTCCCTTTGTCAATTTCCTTTCTTCTTAGACGATAACATACACCGTTATCTTTCCTGTTTGCATCCTCATGCAGAGCCTTATACTACGATAACTGTGTTGTATTAAAGATAAATTAGGGACAACAACTGCTTTTTACTATTTCTTCTCAGTATCTTCAAAATATCTTAAAAATATTTTTAATCTCCTTCTCATTTTCAAGATTGTTAAACGATATCGCAATGCAATAAATACCGCAAGCATTATTTTGTGACGTAATAACTTTGAATAAAGCTGCAACCGCGATGCATCAGATAAACGCGAGAGTACGAAGAAGGGAGATACGAAGGTTGACGATGAGCAAGCAGGCAGGCAAGAGCCAGAGAGGCAGATGCTTCTTTATAAAGAACAGAGGAAGCATCGTATTCAGCAATTGCATTCCCGGATATGCAGAGTCGTTGCTAGGTGAATCGTAGGCTTGATTTAAAAACATAAACTCGTTTAGCTATTGAAGTTGTCTTTTAGATTCATAAATTTCGCATTATTGTGATTAAGCTTGTGACTCCAATATCATCTTGACTTCAAATAGCAAGTCTTCGGCAAATACGAATATTCTTTAAGAACTCGTCCATTTGTCAGAGAGCAATCGTTTGAGAAAATTAGTTGCAAGAATTTAAAATAATCGTGCAGTAAAAAATTTTCTTGATAAATTTTCAAGATATTTATAAATATTATATAAAAATTTCTTTATGTGCCATTTCTTCAGACAAAGTACAGAATTTTTCGTAAATTTATAATTTCTCGAAATGACGAAGTTGTTCCATTAGATGTTAATGTCCAATTTGAATGTTGGCGTGGATCACTTTGTTCCATCCTGACATACCACGTGCTCCTTTCCTTCTGCCACGTTAGCTTCTCAGAAAGAGGAGTAACTTTCTTTCATCACACTATCGCTATTCCATCTGTGTATCTCAATTCCAATGAAGATTTTAACGTAATTACATTGTCTGCTGTTATATTGCCTAATTAACACTTATCCATTTCTCATAAAAGGATGTTATAACACCATCACGGAAGTAGACAATATCATCGCACGTTCTCTTCTTGCAAATACTTTACACTCCAGTTCCGGATTATCAAAAAGCGCGAAAATGAAAACGCTTTCCTTCGACAATTTCACAGCACGATAGCACGGAGAAACGTGGAGAAGGAGCTCGGAACTACCTGCACGCGGCGCCGTGTTGCACCCGTACCTGAAGCCAGCGTCTCGCGGTGTGCTGGTGAATATCCCCCACCCTCTCTTCTGGTTTTCTTCGTCTTCCTCTTCTAAGGGGCCACACAGTATCCCCTTTCTTGCTCCATCCCACCTTTCGATAGACCCAAGAAGTCAATGACGTCAACCGCTTAGCTGTCCTACGTTCACCTACCTACCTGAACAACCTGAACCACAGCAGCTTAACCAGGACCGTAGCTCGTTGAAAATTTGGATGACCCATTTCTTCCAAAGAAGATAAAGCATCGCTTTTATAAAAATGTTAGTTTTATGCCATTAGAGAAAATCATAACAGACGATTATGGCTCAGAGTAAGTTTATTGTTGCATACAGCATAACATAATATGCCATAATATTTTAAATTACAGAATATATTAACCTTAAAGTGTAGCTAAATTAAACATAAAGCTATACATACAGAATTTGATTCGTAGAATTTAATTAAAAATATAATCGTTCTTTCGATAAAACTAATATAGATCAAAAATTAAAAATTCCTGTTTGATATCGACAAGATATTCAAACACTAAAAAAAAAATCAGTACTGATAATTTATCCTAGATAGTTTAGAAAGATAGTTTAGAAAGAATCTGTAATAGTGAGTAAATAGCAGCTAAAGAGCCCAACACGATATTCTTATATTCATACAAGCGCATTTATAATATTTGCACACATTAAATTTTTTTAAGAATATAAAAAACTGATATTTTCTTATACAGTAAATATAAATAATCAAATTACATAAATATATTCGACTCTTTAAGTTCCGCATTCCACTCCTGACACACGCTTAGTTGAGTTATGAGAATATGAGTATTGTTTTGCTAATAAAAAAAATATACAATAAATAATAAAATGTAAAAACTAAATTTTATATGTATAATTATATATAGATAAACACAAACTTACTATGGATGATTATTACTAAAAATATCGATCAAAATTAAAGTGTTATATTTAATGTTATATATGAAATTGTGAAAAGATTAATCTTTCATGCGCGCGCGCACACAGTGTCAAATAAGAAATTGTATATATTCTGACTCATTGTATTAAATCCTGATATTAATCAAGAAAGTGTGGGTTGTCACGTAAAAGAAGTAGTCACTTATGTACAAGGACTTAGAACATTTCCTCTCTCGTTGTAAGACAGGATGCAAATCTAATTAGATTTGTAAAATACTCTATTCTAGACATATTAAATGTTAATCTACATAAACTATATACCTACTTTCAACCTTGTTATGTGGAAAATCTCGATAATCGAGTTTCCTCAAAATACCCTTTGGGAAAATAACAAAACCGTATTAATTTCAAAGGACAAGAAACAACAAGAAATACCATATATTATTAAATATAAAATGTAAAAGAAATGTTAAAGAAAAATCAAGAACTAATAGTTTAAATCAATTCTCAGTGCTCCGACACGCAACTTCAAAGAAACTATTAACAGCCGGAAATAATCCGGGAAATTATGTCAGGTGTCTATAGCCAAAGTGATAATCTGTAAATGTACTTCTACCACAAATTATCGCGACGTGCAAAAAAGTGTTACAAATGGCATCTTTAGCAAGATTACAAGATGTTATTTAAAGATAACAGTTGTTGGTGATACTAGATGTTGACGAATATTTTTAATTGAACATTTTCATGGGCTATGTTCGAATTCCCATTCGAGTCACCTATGATCATCATTTTTTTCATCTACAATATCATTTTAATCTTGTTATTCACCAAAAATATGGATAAAACGATACACGGAGAGCATTCGAATGGGAATTTGAACTTTTAATTATACATAGTCGTCTGTTATCGTGACCATCTAACAATTAACTGTTCAGAATACAAAATATGTAAAGATATGCTTTAATATTGCCGATATGATCTGTACCATTAGAGACATTGTACGATTCGTATCATATAGCTGCATCAAAATTGAATTCCCATAATGCAACGATTAAATAAATTTTTAACGTCATTCCGACTTTTCAGAAAATACAAGTATCTAAACAGGAAATACTTTATGAGGAACTATCACTTCCTGAATAACCGTAAAACTAAATTACATTGTTTGCGCAACATTAAAAAATTCTATTCCCTTCCTGATTAATTTAAGCAGAATAACTTGGATCGAACCGATAATGACATATCAAAAATACTTATAAGTTAAAATATTTATAAATTCAAAGTGACATATTTAATGAAAATTGCAAGATTTATATATATTGCCAGAAAATATATTCTTAACGTGTACATTTTTTTAAAATTAACAAATAAGTTAAAATATTTATAAATTAATTCAAAGTGACATATTTAACGAAAATTGCAAGATTCATATATATTGCCAGAAAATATATTCTTAACGTGTACATTTTTTTAAAATTAACAAATAAAAAAGATTGTATCACATAGCAAAGGGTTTTCGACGAAGGATTCTTATTCCCAGCCTCCCTTCCTCCAAAATACGTTCATGATGAATCATCTCAGGTATTTCATATAAGTTAAATTCTTCGTTGAGTATTATAGATACTGATCATCATATTGGTATGTAAGAATCTAATCCCTTTTTTTTTTAATCTTTATTCTTAGAGAAAGAAATTTCATTTATTACAAAAATAATATAGTCTACTTAATTCAATATTAAAAGTTTAAAATCAGATTAATAACTTATTGCAATTTTAGAATATATGTATGCAAAGATAAAATTTATTTACATACAAACAAACTTATATATAATCTTTCTGCACGCTATAGATATAATTATACCGAAAATTTTAGGCTTATTGTCAGTGAGATAAGAAACTGTCTAAAAGTCTTTTTGAAAAGATATCATGAAATTTATTTCGAAAAATGTTTAGTCTAAAAACCTGTTTCTCTTTAGCCAGTAAACTAGTAACAGGTAGATTTTCTATAAGGAATCTTATTTCTAGCTAAGATTTAGGTCTTATAGGTATAAGGGTGGATCCTAAAAGCTACTCAAAGCAACGATACACGTCTTCTGACGTGAGAGGCATTAAAACTCAAACTCACTTGGCAAAGCTATTATCTCAAATACCAAGAGCTTCTTCTTTGTTTCCAAATTGAAATTATGTTACCTAATATTAAATTGTTCAATTATAAATAATAATATATGCAATTTAATCTGACGTAAAGATTAGAATAATGTAACGCTTGCAAAAAATGTTATCAAGTGTATTTAAATCATAAATTATTGTCACATGAATATTCTCAAATATGAACTCTAGTGCCGTACTAGTAACGTGTCTCTACAGTAAGAAAATAAGCTTTGCTGAATTACTTTCAAATTGCAGTAATTTTGGGCAAAATTGCGCCGGTTGAAAGACGAATCTGGTAACAACGAAGCGAACACGTTCTTCCGACCGGTAATTGTTCTTGCAAATCGTACCCGGTACCTCTACGCCTGAAGCAATTAACTCTCAAGATTGCTAATTAACCCCGTGAGAAGATCGGTGAGGAACTTGCGTTTCCACCTACTTCTCGAGTAGCCTCGAATTGCCTCGAATGCGCGACGTTTCTATCGCATCTGACTTGAAGCTAGTTTCTTCTCGTACTAGATGAAACAGTTGACCTTCCACGATAAAAGCAGACAACGCTTGCACAAAATGACGGACCCAACGCGCGATTATAGTTGTGGCGCTCCTCGCCAATCACGAACGAAAACCGAGAACATCATTGTCCGTAGAGCATCGGTCCCGTTACAAGTCGTATCTCTACATGATTGCAAAGAACGTGACAGAGAAAATGATAGAGAATACGATAGTAAATAAAGTCAAGGCTTCTATTATCGGTCTGCGCAACAGCAAAAGAAGAAAGAAAATAAATAAATTCGTGCTAATATAGTGAGCCTTATTAATATTTTTTATTTCCGACTTTCTGAATTTACCGTATATAAATATTTGTGCAAAGTAAAGACGCTTTATTAAAGTAAAATGTGTCAAAGTTATAAAAAAATGTAAAATTTGT